GGCAGATCCAGAAACTCAGAACTAACACCTTCCAGCAAAGCTTTGCTCACTAACAACCAGGTCACAGTATGTGTTACTGCAGCACTTTGTGCAGGAACGCCCTGTTAACTTTCTGTACTCAGCCTTCAGCATGGTCCTGCTTCCCATGTAGTCCAACTACTACAGCAACACATTTAAAATGCTATTTACTTAATCTGCCCTGAATTCATCCCTCATTCCTGCCATCCTAGGAAAAACCCCCAAAATCCATAAGTGGCAAACTTAAAATTGCTTAGGCCTTCACAGTTCACCTCAGCAATGAACTCAGTAGACGAAGCTGAGAATCCTTGTGGACTTTTCACTCTTTACTATATTAAGTTCTGGAAAAGGCCTTGGTACAAATTCATTCTTCCTTATAAAATAACATTTCAAGATTTTGTCTGCACTTCACTAGCTTTTTGAAATCTCAGTTTCCAGTCAGGATTCCACTTATGATAGATTTCCCAGACATGTTACTGGATACGAGAATAAAGGAGTTAATATCTGCATCCTCATTCGGGATGTGGGACAAAGGCACACAACAAGGCTGGAAAAGAATCACTGTCCATCAGCTTTGCTGAGACTCTAGTTTTCTTCCAGAATATTCCTTCCCTACCAGATACTGGCAAGTCTAAAGGATGGAAAACAAAGTGATGAGAACAAAGGAGTGGTTGTCTCTCAGTCAAACCTCTCTGCATGAAGGAAATGACATGGAGCAGAGACATATGCCACTGAAGGGAGATGGGAGCATGTCATACTCCAGCCATCTTCCCATGTACTGTCTTGCTGGTTGCTCAGGGTGTGAATGATCCTGAGCTTGTGACTCCTAACTGCTTCAGAAAGGGAAAAGCCAGCAGGAGTAGGCATCATGTTTTGACAACTTTGCAAAGCTGAAACCAAAACTCTGCTCCAGCTAAGGGCCTCCAGGCTGTGTAGGAGACAGCATCCTGGCATGTATGAGGCAGGTACACTCAAAAGTGTTTATCTGTGTTTTGGCACAAATGGTGGTGAAATAGTCCCCCTGCAGGAGGCTACTCCCTCCCAAGTCATCATGGACGGGAGCTGCCTGTCCCAAGGGGTCCATGTACCACAGAGTGCTTTGATGAGAGTCTGACAGATACAGTGCAATTCAAGCTTCAAACTATTCTTTGCACTTGTTTCAAGTATGAGATCAACTTTCCTGAATACCATCATCCCCAAATAGCACAATTCACTTCCAAAAAGGCTTATTAGAACTTTACATAATGGTATTATTATTATTTCCCTCTCTCTGTTTTAAATACCTCCTCATGCATTTCACAGTCACACTTGCATTTCTCATCACCACACTACATTCATGATTCACCAGTCTTCCAGTCACCAACTGGTGCACGGAGTTATTTTCAACTTCTCTGTTATTTTCAACCAAGGAACATAGAGTCTGAAACAGAGACATTATTAGAGTTAGATATTAGCTGACAATACTTTGGTTTTCTCCCCCATTTCTCTCACTCCTCAAAGTCATCTGGTAAATGCAGTTTAAAATGTGACACAATTAGTGTATGAATTAGGGTTCAGTTCTCCATTTCAGTTAAATTACCAACCTAAGAATCAACTGATAATTTTCAGTGCATTTTATAATCTAGCTCAACCCTCTAACACATGCATTTTTCAGAGGGCAAGGCTGGTTTTTCAAAGTCAGCTATCTGGAATGTCTGGTTATCACTTTTCTGATAGAAGCCAGCTCTTCTGCATCAATAATTACAGGCAGTACCTAGTCCAAAATAATAGTGGAAGGAAATAGATACAGCAGAGAGATTATGTACTTCCATATGAGCTCTTTGAATATGTACAAGCTGTTTTTTATAATAATTAGTAATTACAGTAGGCATTTCTTACTTTATACCCATAGAACAGGTTCTGATTAACTTCTTGAGACAAAACAGAAGAATCAGAACATTAAAAATTACTTAAAGCTACTGCATTTGCATTGATATGTAGCTTATTCAAAACCTGAATATCCAGAAATACCACAAATACATTCAGCCAAGGAAGTAGAGAAAGCATCCAGCTCCTGCCACACCTTTAGAGAAGTCTTATAATCTAAGCAAAGCCTGCAAGAGGAATATAGGAAATCATCTTAAACTGAAATCCCAGTTTTAAACTCTAATTCACAATTATGCTGTCTTCTATCCTGTAATGAACAGTATTAACAACTTGACACCATCATAGAAATGCCTGCTTTATAAGAAATACTGTCTATGAATATTCAAGGTAGATCTAATGCTTATGACATGAACGGACACACTAAATAATAAGATAATAATTGTGCTTATAAACATCTGCAGTGTGTTTGGATTTCAGAGAGAAAAGAGCAGTACAGATATTTTTGTCCAGTAGGGACCCCTGGTGTTTAAGGTAGTTATAACAAGGATCGACATCCCTAGCAGAAAATGAAGCCATTAATTTGGAGTCAGATGCCTTTCTGCATCCACACCTATTGCATCTTCCTCCTCTGAGATCAAGAAACAATACCTAGCTGTATTATTAACTGTGAGTGGCTTACAGATTTCTTAGTCTTGCAAATGCTTACACAGCACACCCCATACTCATACAGGCCAAAAGTTGGCTACAAAGCACCTGGCTACTCTAAGGGGCGGATGCTGGGGCTTGTCTGCAAGCAAATTTTGCTAAGTCCTTGCAAATTTCCTGACACGAGGCTGAATCACCCCAAACCGGGCCAAGACACACTTCTGAGACAAAGTCTAAGAAGTGGGGATATTTGCTTTATTCAGGGATCATTCCTCCTAACAGTGCACACCCAGACACACAACAAATTACAATGTATGGCTGCATCATGCATATTCATAGTTTTCCATCAAAAAGGTGTGGTTATGGAAACTATTTCTTAGTACTCATTACTATATTAGCATACGCGAGGCGCAGGTGCAGTGCACCCTGGTGATGGCACTGAGGAAGGCTCTGCACCTTCCTCGCTGTTCCTTCTGATGAAGGCTGGACATCTTCATCACCGTGCCCTTTTCACCTTTCTCCTGCAGGCATGCACAGTCTCTTGTTAGCTGTTTCAGCCATTTCCTCACCAGTTTGAGCAAGCTCTGTCCTTCATTTTTTCAAGTTTTGTTCCTTATTTCTTGCCTAGTTTCATCTAGCTTCTGTATTGGTTAAAATTTATCTTATTCTTGCCCAAGTATGCCTAGGCACAATTCTTTTAACCCTTTCAAGGCTCTCTGCATTCTTGCAAGATACCCTAATATCCTTGTCTTTCACAGAGGCACCTATAGTGAGCCAATGCAGCCTGAAAGCAGCCATGAAATTCCATGCAATTGCTGGCTTGGGCCACAGACCTAAAGCTCCCCATCACTTCCTTTCTGATCAACTTCATCAAAATAACTGATAAGGCCTTAACAAAAAACAAATCAACTTCTGCATCATTATAATTTTAAGTTAACGGCTATGAAGCACAGTCCACTTGCAGCAATGGGGAACAAAGACTCCCTATAGCTCTGAAGATCTCTTTATTGCCAGAGAACACCCCCTCTTTATACCCCTATTTTCCACTGGACACAACCAGAACCAAACAGAACAGAAGAAAAGCACTGCAGTGCTGCTGTCCATGCTTCCTACCACCCAATCAGCTTCCCACTCGTACACTGTGCATGCAGATGTGCACATATCATGCAGAATGTTACAAAACCTCTTACTTGTACTTCAAGGTGCCTTTGTCCCCCTAACTTCTGATCTAGCCCAGATCTCTGTTCTGTTCCTCTCTCTACACTAAGCATCATCTTTGATTTCATCTTTCTGCTTCTGCAGATAGTGTGTGGGGTGTTCTGCCTTTTTTTAGATTACCTTGATTTTATGTCTCATTCCTACTAGAAAACTGCCTCTGGCATTCCCAGAAATAATTAATGCTCTTGCAGTTCCTAATAGCATTCTTTGCTTCTCAAAATGCCAAGGCATTTGTAAACCTCTTTACATGGAACTAAGTTGCCTTTGGTCTGTGTTGCATTCTGGGGGACTATCAGGAGGATCTTTTCAAAGTGATCATATCCCTCCAGCATAAGTTTGAGGAATATTACAAGAGGAGAAGTACTGTAGTAGTATGTCCTTATTCTATAAGCCTACACAGAGGATTGTTAGCAAATTGAAATGTATTTCTGGCAGAATTTAAGTTAATAGTATTACCATCTCACTTTGCAAGCAAACATTTCACACACTTATGTAGGCTTCCATGATCTGAAGGGACCTATAAGGAAGAGGCATTCTTTATCAGGAACCTAAGTAACCAAAAAGGACAAGAACTAATAGGTTCAAAATGAAAGGGGAAAAACAGATATCTGGAAGAAATTCTTTACTGTGGGGGTGGTGAGACACTGGAACAGGTTGCCCAGGGAAGCTGTGGATTCCCCTTCTCTGGAAACATTGGAAGCCAGGACGGAGCTTGGAACAACCTGGTCTAACGAAGGGTGTCCACGCACAAGGCAGGGGGGTTGGAATGAAATGATCTTTAAGATCCCTTCCAACCCAAACCACGATTCTATGACTATGCTGTAGAACATTAGAAATGGTACGCTACAGAGAAAACATGAAAACGTGGGCATGAAGTCGTTCGGGAATAAGGGGAAAACAGCCTCACCTTGCCTCCCTTTTCTTCATTTTGCCTCTTTGGTAAACATAAGAAGCTGATTTTGCTTAGTCTTTGGTCACTAGTCAAACGTCTCTGGGGAAAAAAATAACGCAAATATATTTAATTCGAATATTTTCCATTCATCTCTTTACAATATTTTCCCACGCTTCCCGACAAGCCGGTCCCGACTAGAGTCAGACAGGCGCTGCTGCGTGGCCCGTTCTCCAGATCAGCAAGGCCCCGGGCAGGCCGGCTTTCCGATGCGAAGGCTCCTTTGGTTACGCACGGCAGGAAGGGATGGGTGGGGGCAATGCGCTCCGAGCACCGCCCCGGGGCCGCGTCACGGGCGGGCGGCCGGCGCGGCGCGGCCGGCGCGGAGCGCTGCGGGCAGTGGCGCCATGCACTCCCTCGCCCAGGAGATCCGGAGCTTCTCCAGGGCCAACCTGCGGAAGCAGCGCACCCGCGTCACCACGCTGACCGGCCGCAGGATCATCGAGACGTGGCGCGGCGCCTGCCTGCACATGGAGGAGGAGGAGGAGGCGGCGCCCGACGGCGGCTTCGTGCAGGATCTCAGCGCTGACCTCCAGGTCGGCGTGGTGAAGCCCTGGCTGCTGCTGGGTGAGTGGGGCTGGGTGAGTGGGCGCCGTCCGCCGGCCGGGCAGGGGCTCAGCGCAGCAACGGGAACGCTCTCTCTCCGTAGGGTCGCAGGATGCTGCTCACGACCTGGAGACGATGAGAAAGCATAAGGTAACGTTACACGGACGTATAAATGCATCTCGTGTGATGCGCGCAGTGCGTTTCTCCTGTAAATTAAAAACTCCTAATTATTCTCTAGCAGATATGAGGAAAACTGTATTCCACTTGCATTTTCAAAAGGCTGCTCCGTTTGCAGGTGGATGGGTTTCTGTTGGCTTCACGAGAAGCTGAAATGCTTTCAGAGAATCCCAGAATCTTCCAAGGGACTTCTGGAGATTATCTAGTCCAAACCCCCTGCCAAGGCAGGGTCACCCAGAGTACGTGACACAGAAACGTGTCCAGGTGGGTTTGGAATGTCTCCAGACAGGGAGACTCTGTGACCTTCCTGGGCACCTGTTCCAGTGCTTGGCCACCCTCAATCTGAACAAGTTCTTCCTCATGCTCAGGTGGAACTTCTTATGTTTTCATTTATGACAATTGCTTTTCATCCTGTTGCTAGGTACCACTGAAAAAAACCTTGCTTCCCTGCAAGAGTGATGATTGTTTAGAGCTGTTTAATGGAACAGATTCCTGCACTGCCATATGCATTTGCACTTCAGACACTAAGTAGCTCCATTCCCCCTTGCCTTACGTGGATTGATAAAACTAGAAAAATAAATCAGCTTCTCTAAGTCTGTCCCAAAATTTTGTCTTTTTACTCTTCTCTATTGCAGTAATGGTGTGATAAGGCCTTTGGACAGTGGTGGTTCTGCATGCACCTGGTTGGCATCTGCTGCCATCTAAATGTCACTTTACTGTAACTTAAAATAACCCACAACCTGACTGTAGCCTGTACAGAGCAGAGATGGCAGGAGGCCAGAAGTGGTGTCAACTGCCAAGAACAGGTTTAGTTTACTCTGAAATCCTTCTGCTCCAGCAAATGTTTCTGGTAACTAACCAGAAGGATTGTTAAGCTGATGGGTTAGAGCAGGATTAAAATTTGGGCGATTTTTGTGTGGTCTGTTCTCTCATTCCTATTGCTTTCTCTTTTATTTTCCAACCACGTGATGAAAACTCCCTTTTCTGTTGAAAACCCATTTTTATAGTCTGTGTCTGAGCACTGATCTTTTCATTTCCTCTCTGAAAAACCCTGAGATTTATCACAGTATGTTTTAGCACACTTTGAAACTTTGCTTGGAGAAAAGTGCACCATAGACAGCATATGTATGTAAAACTGAACATTGCATCAGTGTAAGGTAGAGTGTGTGTATGCCTAAAGATTAATTCACCTTTGTTACTGCTCGTTTTGCTTGTTATCTTCAGAAAATGCCTTTTTCCTTTTTTTCTTTTATTTTTTTGACTTAGGTCACTCATGTTCTAAATGTGGCATATGGAGTCCAAAATGCCTTCCTCAATGACTTTATATACAAGACCATTTCCATTCTGGACCTTCCAGAAACTGATATTACCTCCTATTTCCCTGAATGTTTTGAGTTTATTGAGAAAGCCAAGATCCAGGTACGGTCTATCAATAATTAATATTAGTAGTTATCCTGTTTAGATTATTTATAACATTACTTAAGAACTAAAGCAGCTTCTTTTGTTAAAAGAAAATATGGTACCAAATGAATAGTTTTGCCATTGTCTTTTTAAATATTAAGTAGAAACTCCAAGTAATTTTTAAGTATTCCTAGAGACATGGCACTGCTGTTAATCTTTATTCCCTCCAGCATTGCTTTTTCAGAATTACTGTCTTGAGTTTTAGAGAAATGCTTCTTTAATACAGGTGGACCAGGGCTTGAGTTTAAATTACACAATTGCATCCTAAATCCAAGTCACTACCCCTGACAGAAGGAAATGAAGAAAATTTATTTATCCTTTGGGGATGTTGTTTTGGATTAGAAATCAGAGTGAATTAAAAGCAAGAAACACAGCTTTTACATATCTGTGTGGTCTATCATCAGCTGTTCACCATGTTGGTGCTTTTCATTATAGAATCATTGAATGGTTTGGGTTGGAAAGGACCTTAAAGATTATCTAGCTCCAACCCTCTGCCATGGACAGGGACACCTCCCACTAGACCAGGTTGCTCAAAGAAGATGCTATGATTCCACATACCCAGAATATCAGAGAATGTGTTAGTAGTCTTGGAGCCAAAAGTGATTTAACTATTCACAAAATGTTGAAAGGATGTGATAGAGAAAATTGGCTAAAAAAACCCTTCTGGGGTTTCTTGGCAGAATTATCTGTAGCCAGGAACATGCCCAACTCACAGCTGTTAAATCCAGGTTTACTGTGTAATTTAGGACAACCACTGTTTTGGTATCTAAACTATAACTCAACAACCAAACATTATTGCATGTTATTCTACTATATCTATCAGGTTCATTGTTTATGTAGATTGGGATAAAAGATGATCTTGCCCCAGTTTTCGTTGTGTCGCAGTGTTCTTTCCTTCTCTCATTTATAATTTACAAGCTATGTGATAACGTATGATCACTAAATTACCTTTTCAAGGTTTCTAATTACAGTTTCCAGTTCATTTCTAAATGAGAGTTGCCATTCACAACTGCACAATTTTGCTTTCTGCCCTCTGGTGTTTATATCTCAGTTACTATTTTGTAGGTTAAGGAGTTTACAGGAAAACTTTATACAACAGCATTAGTAGTTTTCTGATGGAAGAGGTGGATGAAAGAGAAGGTAATTGGTGGAATAGTTGTTCTCCAGAATCAGTTCAAAAAGCACATGATAGTGGTATACAGAGACAGATCTCTAGGTGGTTTGAATTACTTTACTTGCTTTCTCAAAATAGTGTTAAAAGAGTTTATGATAGATTGTATCATGAAGTGCTCTTCTGTTTAAGTAACCATAGAGATACTACTGTTTCATCTCTTAAAATGGGGGAGAAAGACATGTTCACTGGTGAGAGAACATGATACATGAGAAATTATTTCTAGAACATGGTGAACTCCATGAAGGAAGTATAAGAGCATGTGAATTTGAGGATGCACTGTTCTGTAAGTCATTGCCAGCTGGGCACTTGTAACAGGATTCACTTTTCTAAAACTGTAATGGCTCAAGTCTCTAGATACCATGGTACAAATTCTGATACTGATCAGAGCTCAGCTTTTCTTCTAGGCTCCAGCTTGGCAGGCAGGTTTTCCATTACATGTTCGGTGACCCATGTCAATTCATAATACTGTGAATGACAGATACTTTTTGATATGTTTAATATCTAATAATAAAACTTCTGAAATCTTGTGTTTTCAAAGAGAAAATCTTTGCTTATTCATGAACATCACTCCGGATTGCTCCCCCTATCTTTCCTAAGGAAAAAGCCTCTTTTTCACTGCAAAGTAAAATGGATCCATAAGGAATTACATTAGCCTTCAACTTCACTAAAAACTTTATGCTTCTCTTAAATTTCTTTCCTTGGTGAGGCTTTCTGCCCACTGTGTATAACCATTATATAATCACCTTTTCTGATAGTGGAAGGTGATTTTGTTTCTCCCTCCATAAAAATTTTTTAAAAACCCCAACTTGGTCTTGAATCTTATATGATTCTTTCAAGTCCACTGACCATTTCTTGGCAGGAAAACTTAGGGTATCAGAATCAGAGCAAGGAGTTTTTGGTAAATAGAGATGAATTTCCTGTTTGCAGTCTGTTTCTCACTTTATTCTGTATTCATAGATAATAAAACATTAGTTAAGAATGACATGCCAAATTCATTTTTGTATGAATTGTAAACAATGGGCTATAGCAAGGAAAGATAAATATTCTCAGTATTAAAGTTGGCTTAATATTATGGCCCACATTTATTCATGTTCAATAATTTTCAGAATTCATGGGTATCACTATATAATTTTTATATATAGTTATTTAAAAAGATACATCAGACTTTAATGTGAAAGAGGGAAGTAAAGAATGAACTGTACAAAGGAAAAGAAAAATTGCTTCCAATGCATTTTATTTACCCTCAGTGCCTCTGCTAGACATTGATCTGGATTATGGTATGCTGTGTCTAAAATAACTCCCATTAAATCAGTAAATACTACTCCAAATCTACAGTGGATAACCTTTAGCAATTGCTTCATCAGCAGTAGCATAATTTTTAGTGTCATTATTCTGGATTTACAGGTCCACCACTGGCATGTCCTCAGGTAGCTGAAATTACAGATCTGCTTTCTACTCTGCCATAGTGTGTGTGAGGACACGTGGTCCTGGGAATGTGAGCAAGGGAATGAAGAGAGTAATTTGCAGCAGGCAGTGCACAGGAGATGTGATTTTCATTGCAAGGAAGGGTGGTATTACTTGCTGGGATGTGGGAGCTTAGACTTGGTTCCTAGCTCTATCATAATGTTGCACATCATTCTTCTAGGCTCAGTTTGGGATTTCTGCAACAAGGATAATAATACTCCATTTCATACTTCTTTGTTTTGTTACTTAAACTGGAAGATTTTTGGAGCAGGAACCATTTTCTGGTCTGTGTGTCTTAAAATACTAGGTAATTGTAGCTCCCAAATCTGTAATATAACCTATTGAGTTCCTAGAAAGGAACCCTGGTGCTTAAAAGATCTTTTTGTCTCTGGGTAAAATTCCCATTAAGTAACTTGTGCCTGTTAAGGGCAGACAGAACAGGCTGTTTGTAACTAGAATAGTTTTGTTTAGCCTCAAGTATCTGAGCACATCATGTCATGTTTCAGTATTTTCATTCTGAATATGGAGGTGCTGGGGGTTTTATGGTTTCTTTTTGTGTCAAAGGAGCATTTAGTGGACAGTTTGGACTGAGGCTTTTCCAGGTCATAATCTGACATACAAACATGACAACATCACGAAGCCTGGGCCTTGCAAGCATTACTTAGGAGATTTTAGATTGTCTAGTTGTATTTGTGTTAATTTGGGTTTATTTCTTAACAAAACTCAGAGTGTCTAAAAAGAGCCATTCAGGTATCTCAAAGGTTGTGTAGGAAATGTTTAAGTAGGATAAAACCCATTAATTTTATATATAATGCAGCATAAGCCTGAATTCAAACCCCAGAAGAAGCATTTGTGAATTTATGGGAGTTTGAGTAGTTTTGGATTTGCACTCTAGTTCCCAGTTAAGGCGTGTTAGTTGTACCAGTGGTGTGATGGGAAGGGAGAGATCTGCTGCAAATCACACTATATCCTTTCTAATTTTTCTGTTCCCGTGCATGATCCCTGTTACTCAGAATCTTCCCTGCAGAGTACACAAGAAACATGCTACTGGAACTACAAGATGTTCTAAAATCTGCCTCTCTGCCTAGCTGTTTGCTGCCTTGCTATGTTTTTAACCTTTAACAAGATACTGTTAAGTTCCTTTCAATATTGCAAATAAAATCTATTTCAAAATTGGCACCCAATTAGATCAGATACTTTGGTATCCCAGTTGTCTGTGATTTGGTTTTTACATGAACAGGCTGCTGTAAGGCCTCAGGAAGAAAGACAGAAGATGTCTTTTAGTACTATGGTATGAGTTAGGTTTGATGAATTTGGTAATAATAAAGCATTTTGCGAAGAAAAAGACTTAATTTCATGCTTATATTGTGCTTATGTCTGTGTTTGGACTTACATGTGTAAATATTTGCTTTGAGCTCGGTAAGGAGCTTTCAATAAGTCTTAAAAGAATTTTATATAAAGTTTGTTACACTTGTAATCTACCTAATGACTTTCCCAACTTATGTTTAATTTCTTTCTTGGAGGATGGCGTGGTACTGGTTCACTGTAATGCAGGAGTCTCCCGTGCAGCGGCTGTAGTTATTGGTTTTCTAATGAATTCAGAAAGACTGAGCTTTGCCAGAGCCTATTCCTTGGTGAAAAATGCAAGGCCTGCAGCTTGTCCAAATCCTGGCTTCATGGAGCAGCTTCACAAGTACCAAGAACAGATTGTAAAGGCAAATGGAAGCATAAACAGTCATGACTGATCCAAAGCAAGAAGTGAAATAATCTGTTTTGACTATACAGGATTTGTATGTACTTTAAACCACTTTCACATGTGCATTTTCAAGTCTTTATATATTTTTTTCTTACCCTCCTTTCACCCTGTTTTTTTCCAGCATGTCATCGAAAGGTCAAGTGGTGTACTGACTTCAGAGAAGTTTTGCCTAAAACCAGAGCACTAATAAAAGGATACAGCTCAGTTTTCCTTGAAATATTAGAAAACAATAGAATGATGGTTTGCTTATTGAACCACGAGAAAATGCAGGCAATAGAGAAAGGAAGTAAAATAACTGAGATAAGTTGCTTTCTTTCCAAATCTGCACATTCTTACTTTGTTGTAAAATCTAGATAATAAAATGTTCAAATAATGAAGTACCTTGATATTGGAATTTAAAATTATATTGCAACTATGGATGATATTATTGAATTTTATGGGCTAGCCAGCCATTAATTTTTTTTTAAATTAAAACGATGGTCTTTTGAGGATGCTCAAAATGCATAGGATGCTTTAATGCTTCATGTATTTCTATTCTTTATCATCTAGTAGTGATTTGAAGTGCACTAACATGATGAATCCAGTCTTGGAACTAACAGGGTTTTTTTACCTGTAAATCATTTCACTAGAGATACAAAAAATTTTGATAATGATTTGTCTCTGCTCATGCTACTGTCTTCACATCTAGTCCTCATGTACTGTCCCCTCACTCCATTCCACATCATATGTAAAGAACATATAGGGTATGTAATTTTGACCCTCCTGAGAGATCCCAGGCTGGTTACTGTATTAATATGTCATGCTTTAAAAAAAACCAAAAACAAAACTCCACAAGATTTTAATAGTATTTTGTGGCCTTCAAGCCAGCTCTTAATATATTTATTAATATGCAACAAAATAAAGAGAACACTGTGTTTGGATAAATTGTGTGCTGAAGTGATTTTAAAGGTTTGGTTTCAAGATTGGCGTTCTGTCCTGGTACCATGGACATGGTTGTTTGAACCATGATATCTGTTGTGGATTGCTCGTGCTCAAGAACGTGTGGTGACACGACAAGGAGGAATGGATTCCAAGAGAGAGAAAAGGCTGAGATTAGATTATTTACGCTGAGGGTGGGGAGGCCCTGGCACAGGCTGCCCAGAGAAGCTGTGGCTGCTCCATCCCTGGAAGTGTCCACGGCCACGTTGGAAGGGGCTTGGAGCAACCTGGGACAGTGGAAGGTGTCTCTGTCCATGGCAGGGATGGAGCTGGATGTGCCTTAAGATCCCTTCCAAGCCATTCCACGAGTCTGTGCTAAACATTAATGCGGGAATTAGGCAACCCCGCTGCATCTGCTCGCTGTTCGTGGTCACCGATCCCCGTGTCCGTGAGGGAACAGCTCACTGCGTGCTCTCGGCGGGCGCGGGCGGCTGTGGTGCCGGCAGCCCGGGCAATGACTCACAGCCTTTCCCCGGGGCGGCAGCGGGGGGAGGCTGCTCTGAGCTCTCAGGCCGTGGAAGCAACCCAGGACAAGCCCTTGTAACTGTAACCGCGGTTCCTTCAGCTCTGTTCGCCACCTCGCCCTTCTCGGTGGGACCGTTTGGCCAGGAGCCGTGAGGCGACAGGCCGGCACAAGCCCATGTCTGGCCCCGATAAACACCCCCCGTGACGGGGTTCCGCCCGCCCCCTTCATCGCAACATGGCCGGGGGCGGGTCGGAAGTGACGGCGGCAGGAAGCTCCGTCCCGTTTGAAAGCGCCCGGCGGAGCCGCTGCCGCCGCCTCTTTCCCGCCATCCGGGCCGACATGGCCGCCTTCGCCATGGAGCTGCCGCCCGCAGGTGAGCTGGGCCCGCGGGTTCCCCCAGACGCGCCGCCTCAGGGGCCGCCGCCGCCCGGCCGCGGGTGCCCGGCAGGTCCCTCAGCGCTGCCTGCGCTCCTGTGAGGGGAGTGGGGCCGGGGCCGACCCCCGCCTGCAGCGGGGATCCCGGGCAGTGGGAGGCGGCGCCGGGAAGGGACGGTTCCCGCTGGGCTGAAGCGAAAGGGGAGCGGGGTTAAATTGATCGGTCGCCACTTGTAGTTGCAAAAAATACAAGGTTGTGGTAAACTCGACTTCCTGTAAAATGAATGATTAAACCTTTGGTCTCATCAATACATGTAAATATCTCAAAGGCGGGTTCCAAGAGGGTGGTGATCAGCGACAGGGCGGGGAGTAATGACCAGAAACCAAAACACAAGGGTTTCTATCTCAGCATGAGGAGGAACTTCTTTACATTGAGAGTGGCCAAGCCCTGGAACAGGCTGCCCAGTGTGGTTGTGGAGACATTACAAACCCTTTCTGGAGACATTCCAAACCCACCTGGAGGGTACACCTGTGTACCTGGTCAAACCCTTGGCAGAGGGTTTGGACTAGATGGTCTCCAGAGGTCCCTTCCAACCCTAACAATTCTAGGATTCTGTGATCTTAATCATTTACTTGTGTTATGTTTCTTTGATAGAGCCCACAATGGAAAAAGTTAGCTCGCTTAAGTCTTTTTCTTAACATTTTGTTTTCAGGAGCTGAACCAATGACTCTTGGCTCCCCAACATCTCCCAAACAAGGAACTAGTGCTCAATTTCTCCCTGGGTTTTTGATGGGTGACTTACCTGCCCCAGTGACTCCGCAGCCACGTGCTTTATACGGCCCTTCAATTGGTGTAATGGAAACAAGGTCTCCACTACTTGCAGGTCAGAATTTGTTAAATGTTGGAAAATTGTTGTGAAAGCAAAAAATTGGTTTGTCTCATTGTTCTGCGTGACTGTTGCAGACTTGAATCTTTATAGTTATATCTTTCTATATGCAAACTCCACTGATTGAATAAGTGGTAAACTCGGTGTATTCAATTATAATAAATGTTTTAAATGTGGCAGTTTTGGTATCAGGAAAAGTTTGTTTTACAGGGAAGGCACTATGAACCTCTACTAGTACAGGATCAGTTTATATGACTTTACTAGTCAATTACACATACATCAATGTTGAAAACAGAGATATCTGCTGGAAAACTAAATGCAGCTTGTATGAACTGCTGATTCCTTTGCAGAATTTTTTCTATTTCTTTGAATTCTAAAAGGTCACTTACAGATTGTCAAAACTTACAAAAACTGGGTGGAGAAAAACTGAAAATAGACTTCTTAATTAGTATCTAGTGGTTGTAGTTAAAGTCTTGATGTCTGCTGTCATTGGACTGGAGTAGTGACTTTTCCTAGCTGTAGATGCTCATTTCTCTTCAACCACCTAATTAATCAGACTAGGAGAAGTTCTTACCCATGTTAGACCCATGTATGTCTGTTTTCTTCTCTGAGAAGAATGTGTGAGTAGTTGACATGTCACAGGTAATCTTGGCTTTTGTACTAAATCAGGTGGCATAATTTTATGTCTGAGGGTGCTAATATGCTAGTCATTTTGAAGGGAAAATCGATGATTAAAGTACTGCAAAAATTTAACTTAATAAAATACTCTTCTTTGACTGTCAGGCCAGATTGGACTCAGTGATCTTTCTAGGTCTCTTCCAACTTAAAACGTTCTGTAATTGGAGGTTTATTTGTCTTCTGCTTCTTACTCTTGTCTGCCTGCCCTTATATGTCTGGGAACAAACCTCTTATGAAAATATTTACGAAATTGAAAGTAATCACGTGAATTTCACCAAATTGTTTTTTAAAGGGTTTATTATAGCCTTAGAGTATAAATTTCAGAAAGAGGGAAGCCAGTCAGATACTAACACAGACTTCCCAAAGGGAGTGATCAAGTAGATCAGTTAAACTGAAAACCTTGATGGGAGAGTGCTTTACATAATGCACATTATTTCATGTAACAGTAGCAGTTCTCATATGTGTTAAGTAGTTCAGAGTGAAGTCTTGAAGCTCAGAATTTAGGATTGAAGAGAACCTTGGAAAAGCTTGATTTCCAAACATTTTGCAAATGAAAACTTGATGCAAGCTACTTTTCTTTTTTTTTTTTTTTTTTTTTTTCCTGGGGAAAATCCACAAAAAGGGTTAAAATACATAAAGTTCTTTCAAACAGTT